AGAGAGAGAGAGAGAGAGAGAGAGAGAGAGAGAGAGAGAGAGAGAGAGAGAGAGAGAGAGTGTTGCATACTAGTGAATACCTTCGCCCAAGTATGGGCAGAACCAAAGATCAACCAATATAGGATGACCATATATGCAGCGGAAGTCTGAGATATGGACTGACTCACATAGACTGAACTCACCTAGGCATCACTCAACACACAAACAATCGTGAGATGGTGGGGTCTGAAGCCATACATAGACGATGCTTCAGCCCCGTACACCGATACACAGATGAATGGTGGGAGGAGAGACGATGGAGGTGGGAGATAGAGGCAGCGCCAGATGTCACCGAAATAGAATCCCAAATGTCACCGATATAGTAGCCCAAAATGTCACCGAACAAAACCAGAATGTCGTTGACGTTAATTACCAATGTCGGAGATACAGAATCCTAATGTAACCGATGTCCGATCTGTGATGCCGCCAGGTATCAACCCCAAGTATCTCCACTCCAACCCGGTAAGTATCACATCCTCCTACCACCAAAGTCCAATAAATCACTGATCTCTGTCCATTTCGTACCCAAAGTCTCTCACCTGAAGAAGAGGAGGAGGAAGAAGAAGAAGAAGAAGAAGAAGAAGAAGAAGAAGAAGAAGAAGAAGAAGCTGAGAGGGGCAGAGCATCGGTAGAGATGGCGAGTAGCCCTAGGCCCTACCTGATGATGAAAGGTGGCGCCTTGGCTGCTGTTGGAGACGGCTGTGCCGCTGGGAGCTACGGCGCTCGCGGTTGCTATCAGGTAAGTCTCCCTCCTCTCTCTCTCTCTCTCTCTCCACAGCCAGCGCTACACCTAGCGCTGCTGTCTAGCACTGCGCTGGAAAAGAAATAGCGCAGCGTTTCGCTCCTCAGTGCTGCCGCACTCCCCTCCTGGAAATGGCTGTTGGCTGGGCCTAAAAACCGCCCGGCGGCCAGTTCGGCGTCTGCCTCCAAAGGTGGCCTCCGATCTGAACCGTCGGATCTATCGTCCGATCCGTGGTTCAGCTCGGGCCGGTTTTCGGGAAAACAGGCTGCCTAAACGGCGGCCTGGTCCAAACGAAAACGTTTGGCCATTTCCCGCCCAGGGCCTGCGGCTGCACGGCCTGGTCTGGAACCGGTTGCAAGGCCAAAGGGGCGGCCTAAAAAGGTCCGGCCTTTGGGCCAGCCTGGCCTGGACTATCGCGTCCAGGCCCTCGGAACCCCTCAGCCTAGTCGTCGGGTCTGAAAAGGCCCGTGTGGAATGCAGTATCTAACAGAAAGAGAGAGATGACACACACTCCAAGCTGATTGTGCAGATACAGCACTGGCAGCATATATACACGCATCCAAGTTATGCGGCTAGAGAAGCATATATGCAATTCCCTCTTACCAGCTTCAGGCTTCGAGTTATGTAACTTATGTTATCTCTTTTTCTTGGTTTTTTGGATATTGTGCCGTTCTTTTGGAGGATTGCTCCTCACCTTCTCGTCTTGGAAGCCCCTTCTGCCTACCCCTTTCCTAGTATATTTGAACACACAAAACATATTAAAAACTCAAAAATGTTGAATGCATTCAATGCAAATAATGTCATTTACTTGTGACGAGGTTGTGACGATGGGCTTGGCTGTAGTGTGCCATTCTCTGACAGGTGATCTCATCAGATGGACCACTAGAGTTTGCTGGCATGTCGGTCACGCTACCGCAAGAATACTCGGTGCACCAATCCACATCTTGGGAGTAGATCTGTCAGAGAATTTGCACCCATGTCTGTCACCTTCAAGCCGGGAGTGAACACTGCATGATCATAAACCGCAGTTTTCACATGCAAGATTGACTCCAAATTTCCCATTCACACACACACACACACACACACACACACACACACACACACACACACACACACACAGAGAGAGAGAGAGAGAGAGAGAGAGAGAGAGAGAGAGAGAGAGAGAGAGAG